TAAATGTGAAAAAGAAACTGCAAACTGTCATTCTGGAAAGCATTTGAGATATTGCCTCCCAGGGACAGACTGACACTGGTCTGAGGAATGACATTCTATGCCTTATGGTGTCATGGACTAGATGGCCAGGCTGTTTACATGTGGAATATGAACAGTGGCCTCTTGAAAGTCAGTTCCATCTCTTAAAATATCTAATAGTCTGGTCTGTATATATGTTTGCACACACATACACAGAAACACACACACTTCCCCAAAATGTATTTGTTTTTTACTGGGAAGAGTCAGTTTGCACAGAAACAAGTGTGAAAAGTGCAGGAATAACTTACAATTGATTGCCTCTGGGGACGAGGAGGAGATTTCCAGTTTTATCAATGAAATACAGCTGTTGATTTATATGAAAGTGTGGAAACAAATGATAATTCATCCTGCCTTGTTATAATGCTGTCCTAGATGTATTCATATTGTGAAAATTCCTGTGGGTATTAGTAGTTCTGAATACCTACTTTCACTCATTTCTAAAATGTAGATTGGCAGAGCATCAGAAGACACATTAAAGAAACCAAACATTCAACACTACTACATTCGGACACACGTGACAGGCCAGGCCTGCGATACCATCCCATTCTGTGACTATCACTAGACTAAGAACCTTTAAATAAATACTCTCTTGACAACCTTTCAGAGATCATTCTTCTAATCTTCGGCCACTCAAAAAGCAGGACCCATCTCCATTGTCCCCGAGTTCAACAACCCCATCGTTAACCTTCCCTAATGCCTCTCACAGATGCATGGTGCCTTTTCCCACAACTGTAACTCATTCAGGACTGCACTTTCCACAGCCAAGTATCGGGTGTCTCAAAGCTCCATAGAACACACGACAGAGGAAATGTTTGTGGTCCATGGACTTTATCCACTCCAGTTAAATAGGATCATCTGGTTGCAAGGAGAGGGTCACTTTGACTCAGCATTTTCCACTCAGACTAAGCTATGGAGGTTTGCTGACTGCAGGGGAAGATTCTACACTTAGGTACTCTCACCTTCCAGCTGGCTCATCGGTCTGAGCACGCTTGTGGGAAACCTGCACTCTGTGACAAGCAGCAGAGTGTCATTTCTAGATCAACTTTATTTACCAAGTAAGGAAATACCCAAGTGAAACAGTGAGTAAAGCATTAAAAAAAGATAAACACTTTGAAGGATTTCTATTCCTACCATGATGTTTTTGCAATACCAAAAGAAAACTGAAGTATATTCAAATGTATATTTCAGAAGAAAATAACTGCTTTTTATTCACTTTACTGAAAAACAAAACAAAAACAAAAAACTACTTAGAATCAATTTAGTATTACAAGCATCAGACAAATAAAACAATCAGCACCCAAAGAGCAAATGCTAATCTTTACACCCAACATTTCATTTGATTCCATTTAGCCACAAGTTTAACCTTCTGATGAGCAGGCAAAGGCACAGTCTACTACCGTGTGCTCTCAGTGAGTCCGTCCATCAATTAACATGTTTAAAAAATAAAATGGATGTAATTACTCCTGCTACCATAACTGTAGCTAATGGAAACCTTCAAATAATAAAGAAAGTAATTTAAAGGAAAAAAAAAAGAGATAGCTACAAAGGAGTTCCCATAAGACTATCAGACTTCTCAAAAGAAAGCTTACAGGCAAGAAGGGGCTGGAAAGAAGTATTTGAAGTCAGGAAAGACAAGGACCTACATCCGAGATGTACAGTGCTTCCCAGATAAGGTCAAGTTAAAGGAGTTCATCATCACCCAGCCCTCATGATAAGAAATGTTAAAGGGACTTATCTAAGACAAGGAAGATCAAAAACTGTGAACAGTAAAATGACAACAAACTCACAACTATCAACAAACAAAGCTAAGAAAAAAAGAAAGAAAAACAGTGAAAACAAAAACTAAGCAAACAGCTAGAGCAAGAACAGAATCAGAGAAATGGAGATCAAATGGAGGGTTTTCAGTGGGGAGAGGGAAGGGAAGAATAGTGGGGAAAAGGTACAAGGAAGAGCGTAATTGGTAGACATTAAATAGATGGGGAGAAGTAAAAAATGGTATAGGAAACAGCAAACTTAGAGAACTTATATGTAAAAACATGGACATGAATTAAGGGGAGGGAAGCTGGAGGGTTGAGGGGGCAGGGCAGAGGGGGGATAAGGGGGAAAACTATAATAGCATAATCAATAAAATATACTTAAAAAAACAGAAGAGATTGGCTAAAAAAAAGAATAACACACACACACACACACATGAAATTCACTATTTTCAATGAGACAGAAAATTTAGAATGTCCCACATTTTTAAAAAAAGAATTTTTCACAAAGCCCTTTAATTGCTAAAAATTGGTGAAGTGAAATACTGTAAATCGGGGCTGCAAAGTAAAATGGCTTAATTTTACCTCCATCATCTGACTTCCCAGGTCTGTGACCTGGTGCCTGCGGCTCACTTATCACTGTCTGCATTGTGACACAGGTATAACACTTTTACTCACGTCACATGTGGCTTTAAGGATTTAATCAGGACACAGATGTAAGAGCTCAGTGAGAACCCCTACCACACAGATGTCAATAAACACCAGCTATTTGTACTCTTGAAAAGACTCTTCCTTGCTCCGGATTACCACATTCTTGGTATTTTCTTCCTTCTTCTGCCCCTTCCTTCTCAGTCTTTTTTATCTGTCCTGGTTTTCTTTCCCCAAACATCAAGTGTTGAGAGTTCTCATATTATAACTCAGTCCTCTCCTCTACTCTTTCCCAGTGGGACCTAATCCACCCCCCCCATGATTTTAGTTACCACCCAGAGAACAATAATTCCCTGAGGTATATTTCTAATTCAGATCTCATTACACACCTCCACTTGGAGGAACACTGAACTCATCACGTCTAAAAGCCAGAATCACCGTCCTTGCCATCCAAACAAAAATGCTGCCTATCTCAGTAAGTAGCTTCAAATCCACCCAATTATGCATCCCAGGCCCTGGGAGTCATCTCCGAAATGCCCTGTTTCTCACTTCACAATGTATAACCTATCTCCTATCTATCCCTTTCCATTTTCCTCTGAAATATACCCCTTGGTCTCCACAGCCACCATCACCTTCTCAATCTAAAGGCCCTTTCCCATAGCTCCAGACTGGTTTGCACAAGAGCAGTTCTTGCATCCCCTCATGACATGCAGCTAGAATAATACCTAAAAGTGCAAATATAATATCACGTCTCTACCTGCAACTTTGGCTCACCAGTGCCCTTAAGAATGAGGAATAAAATACCATGAACCATTGATATAGTTTGTGCACATCCTCCATCCCCATGGTCCTCTATATCCCTATACACTGGGTCTTTTTCCTTTACAATGCCAGCCTCTTTCCTCCTTCAAGGCCTTGATTCACACCCATTTTGTTCCTTCTTCAGGAATGTATAAAAGGTTCGCCCCTTCCGACACTTGTATGCCCATGTCTAGCTATTTCTTCCTCATCATTTATTTCTCTGCTTAACCAACAATTCCTCCAGAAGGCATTTCCTGGTTCTGAGGACAAGGTCAGTTCCATCAATTAGACTCTCATGAAGCACCCTGCACTTCTCATCACAACCCTCAGTGCATTTGCAGTGATGTTAGTGTCTGTTTCCCACAAAAGATAGTAAGGGACACAAGTGCAGGGATCCCAGCTGTCTTGTTTATAGTTGGAGCCCTTCATTTTAAACACCGTGACTGCCACAAGTAGGCCAACCATGACATTGATAAATGTTTGCTGCTTTAATGAACACAGACATGGTTCTGGCTTAGTCCCTGACTTGATAATTGTTCATAATTAATGGAGAAATATACATAAAACTAATTCAAGGCTCAGTGTGATAGCTTTCTATAGGAAATAAGGAATAGGGACTACTGGATTATATGAGGGGGGAAAGTCGATCCTGGAAGAGAAGCGAATGAGGAAAGGCCTATGTATATAAAGGAGGCTTCTTTCTGGTGCTGGGTGGTGACCCATAGAGAGCTAACAAGACTTCAACAAGGGAAGGGTAGGAAATGTTCCAGGGAGAGATAAGAGGCTGGGCAAAGGCATGCACAGAGGCATGCTGAAATGCAGCAAATGGGCACAGTGCGGAAAGCTTCCATGATCAGGATTAACCTATCTCTCACAGAGCACAACGGAAGGTTTCACCACTGAAGAAGGACAAAGATAGAGAAATCTGTTAACAGATTAGGATAGGAGTGTGCAGACCAAATAGTGGGCTATTCCATTCAATACTTTAGACAGAAGAGACAGAGCAAAGAAGAAAAAGGAAATCTGCAGTAGAATGGGCAGCATTGCTCAAATGGGGAAGGGGGACATCACTGACCAAACAGAAAACCGAAACAGAGAAAGGATCAGGGAAGGATGGGAGATGATAAGTTCTGTCTTGAAAACCCAAAGTTTTATATCCTTACATAGTGGTATTCAGGTTAAAATGCAGATCTAAGAAAAAAGATGCAAGTAAATTTCAGAAAATACTATACTTAGGGAAATTTTAATTGGTAGAATCAACTAAACATCAATGCAAAGACTTAACAAACATGCCTAAGGTTTTTCCTCAAACACATGTTCTCCTTAATAATGAAAAAAATACAAGCTATTATGTAAATAATAAAAGCTCTTTTAAAATAACTGCCTGAATTTTTAATATACCCTGTGCCTTGTTTTTATTTTACAGGTGTTAGGATCAAGGCTCATTATTTCACCAAAACTACACAACTGTATTTAATTTCCTGCAATTGTGGGGATAGAAGGAACTCACTCATACTGACTTTTTCTCTATTCAGTAGAAGACTAATATCTTTTATGTTTAAAAGAATTCCAGTCCGTGTAATAGGCTCAGTGCAAAAGTTAAAAATGACATACAGAACTTTAAAAGGTCATTCTAATTTTTAAAATGTTAACATCTGAAATTACGTCATCTTTAATCGCCAGGAGAACACCTAAAGAAAAGCAAAACGTAACACTTACTTTTGCAGCACCTATTTGTTCTTTGCGAAATTTCTCAAGGGGCGCGATTAATACGTCATTAGCGTTTTGAATCTGAAATTAAAAAGGCAAACACATTAAGTTCTGTATAATTTCATGCAAATATTAATAAGAGATGACTCCTTTATTTACCTTCTTTAAATAAACAGCCTTGTTTCTCATTTGCTTCTATAAATGAAATAAAAATACCTCACATATTATAGTCTTTTTCTATTTTATAACTAAGTTGTTCTTGCAAATTATTTCACTTAATCCTAACAAAATGTGAAAATAAGTACATGTGTAGTATCTTAGTTTAAGTATGTAAATTTCTTATTCTAAGATACAACTAAGAAATAGCTTATTGGATATTAAATTTATAAATACCTCTAATTACACTGTTTTAATGTAGTCAATTCAAGCATGATTTCTAAATTCAACCACATATAAGCTCTTCCATTTTGCCACTAGAACATCTAATCATACAAGTGCAAAATAAAATAAGGCTCACTTTTTTTCCTATTTCATTAGAATCCTTACACTTGGGATTCTTCTGAATGTTCTCATATTTCCAACCATACTAAAGTAGTATCTGATTACTTCTCAGTGAACAGTATCTTATAGCCCCAAACTCCAAACTGGGAGTTCCCTAACACTTTAGGGAGTCCCCTAAAACATACACCTTTTAACATTGATCTGTGAAAATACTGGGAGAGGGTTCAAGGTACAGGGCGTAGGGACTGAATGCAAGGAGACAAACATTTTTAAGAGTAACATCATGGTAGAAGGTAATCTCGATTTAAAAAATCTTTTAAAGAGCACTAAAATTAAATATGGGATCTTAAATGTCTGACCACAAAAAGAAATGGTCATCGTGTGAGAGGAAGGAGGTGTTAGCTGACGCCATGGTGGCGACCATTCTGCAATACAGGAATGTATCAAATCAGCAGATGCGGCTTAGCTTCGCACGCCGCTGTGTGTCAATGACATTTCAGTAAAGCGTGGTGGGGCAGGGAGAGCAGGCCAAGTTAACAAAATTTATTCTACCACTGTGATAACATGAGCTAGTATATAATTAGCAAATGCTAATGAAAAAAATGTTTCAATATATTACTCTATTTTAAAGTAGGTTACAGTGTGTATAGCAGTTCCTTCGATTATTCTTATAACTTTTCTGCAAGTCTGAAATTCTATCAAAATTTTAAAATTCCAATAAAAGCATTTGACTTTCACTTATTTTCATGAACCTGGTTATTTTCCAGTCAAGTTTTATTTCTTAAATTCCAGAGTCTAAAGGCACTGAGAAAACATAAACAAAAATTAAAATCTAGAGTGTCCACACCTTCCAAGATTTTGTCATTCTCCATAGTGCAGAACAATGAGATGACAGATCTTAAAAGGACGCCTATAATCCTGTGCACAGAAAGTAGATCAATACTCAAGATTCTTTCTAAGACATCGAGGGTCTGAATACCTCGGTGGAGGGATCCGGGGCCGCCCGGGACATCCATCATCTAACTCCCACTGGCGAGTGCACATGGGCATCCTTCCAGAGATACTGCACAGGCCTCTGACTAGAAAGCGGTGACTGGGAACAGTAGCGAAGTAGCTCACTCTTCATTCTCACTCCCTAAATCCTCTTTGCTTGCATGGAATCCCAAATACATATAAACACATACATAGATGTCCAGATTTCACAGATATAAATAGCCAGTTCTGCCTTTAAAGTTAAGTTTGCATGAGAGGACACGACAGTGATGTGTCAGGGACACTTCAGCATAATTTGGAAAAAGAACAAAAATAAAGGCTAACATTTACTGAATGTTTTTGCTGGAAACAAGCATGATCTAATGCATCTGAAGTTAGAGAACTTTCGACAGGGAGATGTTTCTCAAAGGGTGAACACTCCAAAAATGAGGCCGAATAAGATGACAGGCAGTTAGCACACACATTCAAAATAGACCAGGTTCTGCGGCTCCCAGGCTGCTACGCAACCCTTCTGAGCACGGCTGCATCGTCTGCCCGAGGACTTGGCTCTGAGAACTAAGATGATGAGTGTAAAACACTTACCGCAGCTCAGGGCCTTACACACAATAAGTGCTCAAAACTGACATCTTTTAATATCGCCGAATAAACAGAGATAATAAATTTCATTCTGTATGTACTTACTTCTATCTCCGAATCTACTGTATTGCCCTTTTTGGTTGAAGGGTATCTATGTGCACAGTATAAGAAGGCATTTTCCCATGAAAGTTCCACAAGACAGACGGCCTCGCCCACATCCAATCACTAGGTATTTACATATATGCCAAGCTCATTGCTGAGATCCGTGGGGATGGGGACAAATGAACACATGGCCTAAACCTTCCAGAAAGTTAATATTTATTTGAGAAGAGAGGAATGTATTCATTCAAAAAGTATTTGACGTTCATAAAGCACTGTTAAAAATTTTGGGAGAAGTGAAAGTCAAAACTGATTACATTGAGGGGAGTCACATGGTAAGCTATGCCAAACTCCTCGTAACTACATCAGGGTTCTGACAACAGGGAAGGTCCAGGAGAACTAAATGAGTTGGTGTAGTCTCTTGGTACTGAACATGAACTGAATGCACCAAAAGGAAAAGAATATTCTAGGAAAAAAAGAACACCATGGATAAAGGCAACAGGGTTCAGAAGTAAGCACAGGATGTGGGAAGGGCGGCGCAGCACAGGAGCAGAGGGCATTGGCTAAGCCCTCGTTCACAGTGCATCCGAATAGCGAGTGCACTGAACTTGCTGCAGGCCCTCCTTTAACTTTTTAAAACTGGGAATAGCGGAATGAATGTGCAGCTCATCCAACAATTGTGCCACATAGCAGGCCCCAGAGAAGTGATATGTTATTATTATTAATTAATACGAACATCGCTCTAACTGGAGAAAAGAGTATACATTATTAGTAGTTAACTCAATTGGAATAAGTAAGGAGAGTGAATTATACCCATCATCAGGCAAAGCAGCCTGAACATGGAATGAATGTTGGTTCCTGAAGAGAGGATTTTTTTTAATGTTACAAAAACTTGTTCTAGGAAACCAGTAACATGTAGGATATTTTGAAAGTGAAGTGACGAATACATACTATGCCAACTGGAAGGCTGGGAGAGGAACTCAAGTTAGAAGTGATAAGGACCCAGACCAGGTGCCCGCAGAGCTGACAGGTGAGCAGCAGGGGATTGCAGAGACAGTTTGGGGTTTTTTTGGAAAAACAAAGGTAGATGAATTAAAAGTGACACTAACATTTCTACCTCAGTCACTGGAACACTGGCATCACATTCAGAACTAGAGTAAAAGAGGCCCTTGGACAGGTAACTTAGTTGGTTAGAGCGTCATCCCAATACACGAAGGTTGTGGGTTTGATTCCCCATCAGGGCACATACAAGAACTAGGATGAAAGGAAGGGAGTATGTTTGGTGGAGAAACAATGAAGACAATGAATTTAACTTAAGAATGATTAGTTTGATGCCAAAGGAAGACTCGAAGAACTACTTTGGTGGATATACCACCTCAAAATGGTAGACCTAATCAATATGAACAGAATGTTTGTTTTTTTTTAATTGGGATGGGCAGGACTAGGGAAGGGAGTGGCCAGGTGTACTGAGACACTGGCACCCACACTCATCCCCAGTGGTTTAAATCTTTGACAATCCCCTTATGTTGCTATTATCTAAGTATGACCTGAGACTAAAACAAAACCTGAGATATAGCAAATTAAATACAACCATTAACAACCACCCTATGAGCACATATTATTTCCTATTTCTATTTTGTATTTCTTCAATTTTTTCTTTTGTTTTTAGATTGGCTTATTTTTTCTCTTTCTCCTTTTCTCATTCTATGAATGTAAAGCTGAAAGAATAAAAAAATATAAGTTCCAAAGATAATAAACAGAAAAAAGTGAGGGAACACAAACATCTAAAAGTGAGAGTTAACAATAGATAGGATTTACTAGTGTTTACTATGTACCAAGGGATATGCAAAGTTCTTCACAATATTGAATTAAAGTCAATTTTATGTCATTACATGCAAATCTAAAAATCATCTGGAATGTATTAAGAATGTGAGCATGTGCGTTATCTACAGTTCCATTTGTTGTTTTTTAAAAATTTTATTTAGTTATTTTTCAAGTACAGTTTTTTGTCTATTTCTCCCATCCCAGCCTCCTCCCCCACCCCGTGCTCCCCACCTCCCTCTCATTTCCACCCCCCTTAGTTCTCATTCCTGTGTCCTTCCTATTTGTTCCTCCAAATCCCTCCCCTTTTTTCCATTTGAATCTTGGCACCCAAAGATTAGCCAAAGATTAGCCAAAACAACTAAGAGTCAGGTCTTCATCCCTGTATCTCTTAAGGCTTCTATAAAATGATATATATGTGTGTGTATTTTACAAATAACAAGCATAGGCTTGGCATGTGACAGATTTTCAATAGACATTAGCCACTTTACAGAATTCATAATGTCTACTATGTGTTCAGAATTATTGTAAGCAGTCTTAGAACTTCCCAAGATGACTTAAAACGTGGTTACTCAAAGGTAGCAAATAAGATACAAATTAATTTAACAGACTGTGTCCGTCCAGAGTATCCATTTACAACAGTGGATTACCGGGAACCTAATTTTTTCATAAATGATTATAACATATATGTGGTTTTACCACTGAAATATGATGCTTCTTTTGTGTGCAGTCTGTGGGCTGCCGTTCACAATGAGTGATGTACATTCAAGAGATCAAAATGGAAATGCCAGCACTGGAAGGGCACACCGTGGATTTACAACGCAGCGCGGCTGCGTCTGACCTCGTGTTTGTGCACCCCCGAGGGAAGGCGTGCCTTTCACCCCACGCACTGCTGCTCCACGTGGGTGGAATTCTTCCATTCTGAAGTAATCCACATGTGACGTAAAGAAGGCATTTTAAGTTTTGGTAGGTTTAAAAGGCTTATTGTTGCTACTGAATAGTAAAGGGGAAAAAAAACATACCAAATGGTGGCAAACCATAGTTAAAAATGTGAATCAGGGTGCAACTCTGGTGATTTAACTTTCACAATT